GGGGGGGGGATGGGTGGGGGGAGGGGGGGAGGGACGGATGGAGGGGTGGATTGATTGATGGACGGATGGATGGACGGACAGATGGAGGGATGGACGGATGGAGGGACAGACGGATGGACGGACGGACGGAAGGAGGGAGGGAGGGAGGGACGGATGGATGAATGGACGGATGGATGGAGGGATGGATGGATGGATGGAGGGAGGGAGGGAGGGAGGGAGGGACGGATGGATGAATGGACGGACGGATGGATGGAGGGATGGAGGGAAGGATGGAGGGACAGATGGACAGACGGACGGATAGACCGATGGACAGATGGATGGACAGACGGACGGACAGACAGATGGACAGATGGACAGACAGATGGACAGACGGACGGACAGACAGACGGATGGACGGATGGACAGATAAACGGTCAGATGGACAGACAGATGGACAGACAGATGGACAGACGGACAGACAGATGGATGAAGATGGATGGATGGACGAATGGAGGGAGGGACAGACAGATGAACAGATGGACAGACAGATGGATGAACAGACAGACGGACAGACTGACAGACAGACAGACAGATGGACAGATGGACAGACAGACGGACAGACAGATGGACGTCCAGATCAGATCAAATCTCGTTTTTTTACAGGTCTATCGTAAATACGGCCCAGAGTACGGAGACCAAACCAACCCAAACATCTCTTACCAGTTTTACCTTCCTGCCAGAGAGAGGGAGTCAGCGGACAGCGCCCCCAGAGGCCAGTGGGTTCTACAGCAACTGCCCTGCTCCGTCTCCTGTGGACGAGGTAAACTCTGTTAGACTTCATGACTGTAAAAGGCACACACTGCCACCTGCTGTACTAAAGCGGTACTGTCATGGTCTGACCCGTGACTTTTTTTAAAACTGATCTACGGTAAATGTTCGGAGAGAGTTCGCAGATTTCCCCGACTTCAGCTTCCGATGTTTCCGATATTCTTCACGTGTACACACAGGTATACAGAAGTACACGTACGTGTGTACAGGTGAAAACACCAGGTGTGAGTCTCCTGAACCAGAACGTCCCCCTCAGACCAGCTGTCTCCTCCCAGCCTGTCCACCCAGGTGGGACACCCACCCTCTGCTGCCACCTAGTGGACGTTGATGTAATTGTTCCGCTCCGTCACATAAGAGCAGAAAATACTTTTCGTTTTCGTTCTGTGCGCAGGTGGGAGGCAGGCAGGTTTGGACCCTGCAGCGCCCCCTGTGGCGGAGGACGGGGAGGGCGGCCAGTGAGGTGCGGTCAGAATCC